ATGATGATGATGATGACATGATGATGATTTTTGTGGTAGTCCATGAAAACTGTCTGCAAAGCCTGTGCTGCTTTTGGGCATCATTCCAAAATAATTCCTAATTTCAAGTCTTGGTATACAAGGCACAAATATAGCTAGAAATAGGATGACCCTCTTTATGAGAACAGAGCATAAGGTATAATTTGTGCCTTGAGAAGATAATCTATGAATGAACTGTTGACTCTGTAGAATCTCTGGACAAGTGGGAGCGCCTCACGGTAGCAGATGCATTGGAACCAGTTCAGTTTGAGGATGGACAAAAGATTGTGGTCCAGGGAGAGCCAGGAGATGAGTTCTTCATTATCTTGGAGGTAAGGAAGGTCAAAATTAAAAGCTCAAGCTAAGAACTTTTCTCTTTTTATTTTTTAATGGGACTTGTTCTCCCCCTAAATAGACACTTAGAGAAAAATGAAATGCAAGAAGGTGCTTGTAATGAATTCCCAAATAAATATTATATTGCTGGACATGCAGCAGCTTATATTTAGTTTTGCTATTTTTACTTTTTTTTCCTGGAAGTAGCATTTGTAGCAAGTTTCTGGCTGAAACCAGTTTATCAGAAGAGCAGAGACCTATGCTGGATAGCAAGTCCATGTCTTGCTAGTGCTGTCGTTGCCTTGTCTGTGTTTTTTCTTTTTCTGATAGTCACACTGAAATGTTCTTAGTGTTAGGAGGAAAAACAGGAATAAATCAGTGCTGCAGCCAGGTGAATACCCAGGACATTTAATGATCAGAGTGGACCAGCTGTTTCTATGGAGCAGTCTGGTGAACTATGCAAAGACTGTGAAGTGGTTTTGAAAGGCTGAGGCATTGTAACAGCTGTTTCTGCAAAGCAGCTGATTCCTTGTGGAATTGAATGTTTCAAGTGATGCTGGAAATTCCAATTGTTTCATTGTGATTCCAAGGGCACAGCTGCAGTGTTACAGCGTCGGTCAGAAAATGAAGAGTTTGTGGAAGTGGGAAGACTGGGACCTTCAGATTATTTTGGTGAGTTCTCTAGTGACAGCTCTGATCGTATACACCCCTGTCACTATTGTACCTGTGCTGTGTGGGTGAGGGTGGTGGGATGGATTTGCTTAATTACTGTTTTGGCTGGCTCTTGTGGCTTCCCTCAGTGTCAGGTGAGTATCAGAGTCACTTGGCATTCAGGTGTGTCTGCATGTCACAGAAATGTGACTGTTCTAGAGTAGTTTAGAAAGGTCTTGGTGGGGATTTGGTCAGACTTTTCTAGTCCAAGCAGAGCTCAGGGCTATGTCCTGTTGTGCTTCTTGTCTCCATGGAGGGAGATCCCACAACTTCTCTGGGCAGTTTCTTTCACTCTGTAACCAGCCTTATGAAGAATATATTTCTTTATGCTTGACAAGAATTTCCTGTTCTGCACCTTGTTGATCTCTCTCTGCCTTTCACTATGCAGAGAGCAGCCTAGTTTTGTCTATATACTCATGTAGCTGAAGGCCTAAGTGGAGACCAGAGTCTTTTCTTCTGTTGAAGATCTTGTTACTCGGGTAAAAGTTTCAAGCTCGAGCAACTGTGTAAAAGCTTTCATGTGCTGGCAAAGGAAAAGACAAAGATCCTATTCTAAACTCTTGTGAAGACTTGAAAACCTTTGCATGGAACTAGGCACTTGTCTAGTGCACGTTGGTTTATTTTGGATCCATGTAAAAGCTTTCATGTGCTGACAAAGGAAAAGGCAAAGATTCTATTCTAAACTCTTGTGAAGACTTGGAAACCTTTGCAGGGAACTAACCCCTTGTCTAGTGCACGTTGGTTTATTTTGGATCACAGATAAGGACTGAATGTGTGTGCTCACAGAGCATTCTTGGAGTATAATCTAACAGTATATAACAAGATATTCCTGGTGGCCTTATTTTGGGTTCAAAGGAAAAGTCACTTGCAGTTCTGAAACAAAGCAAGCAACCTGTGCAGAACAAGCAAAAAAATTCCCCAAAATAAAAAGCTTAGCTTTTTTCTTGTGGTTAAGGTAGGTCTTCTCTCCTTATTCCTCCTGAGCAGTCCTTGTGCTGAAGCCTTCTGGTTGCTCAGTTTTTCAGCTTTGTGGATGATGTAATCAAGAAATACTTACTGTGTTGCAGGGCCTGAAATGGGAGGTACTCAAGAGTGCACCAGCAGAACTAGATCTGACCCAGGGTCTGCTTAGCTCAGTACCTGCTAGTAGGTTTTTCTTCCATGTAACTCATTTCAGCCTCTTCTAACGTTTCCCCCGATGTGAACTCTTGAGTTTCTCACTCCTAAACTAAACATTGTCTCTACCATTGTGTTAAGGTGCTGCAGACCTGTCCCCCAGGGGATTTAACTCTCCCTTAGAACCTACTTAATCTTTTGCAAGCCTGTGTTCTGGAGGCTAGTGAGTTCAAGAGTTTTAATGGGGCACAGAGGAAAAGTTTTTCCCATTCCTTCTGAACATCCCTTCTGAGAACACAGACAAATTTATTCTCTGAGGAGCACAGGAGTTCTTTCCTCAGTCCTGAACATGGAGATAACCAGCCCAATTGCCTAAAAACAAACCAACCCCAAAGCTGATGCTGGGGTTTCTTTCATTCTTGTTGCTGGGAATGTTTGGAGTAGCTGTTGTCACCAAAGGAAAGGGGAGCTTGTTGAAATCTTCATTTCCAAAGGGGTGGTTTAACAGTTGGAGTGGGTATTTGAAACAGCTTTTGGCACCTTTGTGCATAACTCATGAAATGAAAAACCAAGGGGACTTGAAGATGCTCATCTTCCACAGCCTCGTGGCAAAGTCAGGTTCTTGATTCTAGTTAGCTATGGGTCAGAGGCTTCTGCCTTGAACATTAGTATGTTTTATTTCAATACCATGGTCATCTTGTCCTGAGTTTCCTGGAAATGCCAGAATTAAACTGTAGCCTACCTTAGCTATTAAAAAAATAACTACTTGTTGACTAGGAAGATGACATGGTTAATTGAAACATGACTTTTTCTCAGATAGAACCAGCATTGAACATTTTTTTTAGGCCTTCAGGGAGAGTTGAATGTGAACAGGCTTTTTTCATTAACATAATCAGGAAGTTTTCTTAAAGTGCAAGCAGACTTGTAACCACATAGATACATCTCCTGTTCAGTATTAAAACCCTGAATTACCTTCTTTTCTGTTCCTGCAGCAGCTGGAAATGGAGCAGGGTAGTTTCCTCAGCCCTTGTGCATGCTGATTTCTAACACTCTTCCCCCTCTCCTGTTGCCCCAGGTGAAATTGCTCTCCTGATGAACCGTCCCCGTGCTGCCACAGTTGTTGCCCGTGGCCTCTTGAAATGTGTGAAGCTGGATCGACCCCGGTTTGAGCGTGTCCTGGGTCCCTGCTCTGATATTCTCAAGAGGAACATCCAGCAGTACAACAGTTTTGTATCACTGTCTGTCTGAAACAAACCTCCCTCCCTGTCCAAAATGTGCTTCACGAACGCAGACTGCTTCATTACCCTGTGCAGAGCCACGTTGCCCCTGGCATTTGCAGCTTCCTGTCTGTTTAAAAAAAGAAAAAATAAAAAAATGGCTTATCATGGCACTGTTTTTAATTTAGAGCATATTAGTTTTGTGCTCTCTGTCCCAATTGATTAATAGGGCAAGTTCTCTGGAGATGTTTGCTGTTTACAGCTTCTCTCTGTGCAAGTGTCCAACTGGGGCAAATGCAGCCTTGCTTCAGCAAGGGGGCATCTCCTGGCACCATGGTAGTTGCCATAGAGTAAGGAGATGACAGTGTGTGTGTGGGAATTTGTTTTTTTTAAAGGTGTTTCTCAAATTTTAAGGCTGTGGTCACAATCTGCTGTACTGTCAAATGAGAACTGCCCTTGTAATTGAGCTGCTTGGGGTTTTCTTTCTTGGATTTTCTGGGGACTGGAAACCTGGGTTTGATTGTGAGGCATCAGCTGCTGAGAAAGCCACAGTTGGAATTTAACAGTATAATTGTTCCTGTGTCTGCTGGTTTAAGATTGCTTAGTTACATTTTTGTCAAGTGTAAATCAAAGCTTTCAAGGTCACTAGTTCTGGTGAACTCCTGCAGTTGTTCCTTCACTTGCTCACTTGCCGTGACTGACTTTTTATTTTAATGTTCTTTCTTCAGCGCTTGAGATGCCATTTAAAACTCTTCCTGTTCAAAGTGGCAAGAACCAAATGTTACAGTAAATGCCTGCCTTTGGTCTCTAGTCCATAGATTGGTGTAAGATGGTGCAGCTGCCCAGTTGTGAGTAATGTTCAGGTACTTTGGTGTAGAAATTGGAAGCAAACATGGCGTTTTCCCTGTGACTGTTGCTGGCTTTGTAGTCCTCAGTTGACTTTTCAAAAAAATGATCATCAGTTCAGGTGACCCTTTGTTACCAGGGGAGATAAATGTTGAGTATTTATGGCCAGCATCAGCTGCAGGTGGCCAGAGGGCTGGGCTACATGGATGCCATTATTCTTGGTAGAGAATGTGAGGTAGAAAAAGTGAATGTTTTAACTTTCCTGCAATGCTCAGTTATTTTAAGTTGTTTTGTTTTTTTTTTTAATCTGTCAATTCATGATTTTTTAAAATGGTTCATCTAGTTTAAGTACAAAAGGTGCATTCTCTTTCCTTGCTTATGGAATTTACATGATACATATTTCATACTCACGTTGTTTTTTCCAAGCTCAATATGTTGCAGAGTCTTAAATGTTATTTCAGTATTTACCAGCTTTGTGTTCCATTATTCTGTGCACACCAACACTTCCCAGAAGTTTTCACTGAATTCCACAGTCAATAATGGTAGGCAATTTTAAAGGTTTCCTTTAAACTGTAATTTATATGAAGTAGTGTAGGTTTGTATTTGGGAGTGACAGCAAGCAGTTTTGCATTTGTTGTGCAACTACTTCTGTGATGGAGCCCTGATTTGATTATTTATGGTGATTATGGATTCAAATTCAACAGACTTTCTCCCAGGCATGTAGATAATCAGAGTGTAATTGATGCAAAAATAATACGGAGGGTATCAAGCCTTTACAAAAGGTTTCAGGGTATTCCTGAACCTGAAATCCCAGTAATGGGATTGAAAAGCTTGTAGTTTGAGCTCTGTGTTCAGCAGATGCTCAGTAAAGGATTTCTGCCAGAGTCCTTCAGGAAGAGTGAGCAAATGCTACCTTCTTGGCTTTTTTTTTTTTTTGTAAAACTCTTCTTAAGTTTTGACTCTCTCCAGGTTTTTTCTTCATATGTCTTCTGTGTTACTTTAAAGCACCAAAAACTGTGTAAACTAGTTAGAGCTCCACAAAAAAATGCACATTTTTTTATATAAGGCTTTCTAATCAAGTTTCACTACTGCATCTTTTCAGCTTGCTGTTTACTCCCTTTTGTAGTTTTTGCCTACAAGATTTTAAGATAAATCAGCTAAGTCTGAGTTAAATATTAATCACAGTTATAGCTTTACCTTTGTGTGCAATTTAAATATGTTTGAAACCACAATTGGCATTATTTTGCCTTAGCTAATAATCAGGGCTTTAGAAGTAATTTTTTGCTAGTCCACCTTTAGCCAATTTATGAAGTCTATTGCCCTAGAAAGCTATAGTCAACCAGAGGACCATTTTTGTATTGTTACCTGACTATGTAAGTCTGATTTACTGTATGTGCTAATATATTATATTATATTCCTTTTGTTATAGATTGTCCTAATGGCAGGTAAAGCAATAAAATGATTTAAATTCTTAAATGCAATCAGTCTCTTCTTTAATTTCCCTGACTATCTATTGTGTTTTCCTTCAGCCTTGAGGATGCATTATTAGTGAGGTGGTGGGAGCTAGGAAGCTTAATGGATGAGCTTTGTGTTGGCTCTGGAGGCTCAAGTTCAAGTCATAGTTGACAGAACAACTGCACCCTCTCCTCCAGAGCCTGCAGGACAGGTTGGTCTCCACAAGCCAACCTGTGCCTGTGACCCAGGAACTTCTCTGGAGTCCTGGCACTGGGGCACCTGGCTGCTTCAGGAGTGAGAAGGTACCTGCATCTTGCTTGAGTGTCTGAGCAACTCCTGCTGCTTTGATCCCTTGGTAAGGCTGTTAATTCCCAGCCACTTTTAGGGGAGCTCATGAGGTTCTGTGAAGTTGTCTGCTCCCATCTCTGTGTGGCCCCAATGGCAGCTTTGCACACGAGATGATTAATCCTGAATGACTTCAGGTGGGCAGAGTGAGAAAGAGAAAAGGGGAGTTTTCAGGTGATGATGGAGTGGGAAAAGCCTGAGGAGTGGTGACCTGAAGCAGCTCAGACTGGATGGTTTGCACCCAGATCTGAGAAAGCTGTCACCCAACTTTGAAGAGAAATAAGAAAGCTACCATGTAAAGGAGAATATAAATAAGAAGAAAGAAACCTTGCAACCCATGTTGGTATACTGCCTATTTAAATACTGTGGGTTTGTTCCCTTCATCTGGCCCTTCTTTTCCCTCATCCTCGACCCAAAAATAGAGAAAAATGGCTGAAAAACATCTACCTAAAATGAAACTTAAAGTTCCACTTCCAACTTTAAAACTTTACTTTTAAACTTATCTTCTGCTGTCATGTTCTTCCTGTTCAAGCAGCCAGCAGTAACCGTTCCATGACACCGACCGAGTTGTGGGTTTGTGGTGTGTAGTGAGAGGACGAACAAGTCACCAGTAGAGGGAGATCCAGCTCAGGGAATCCAGCGTCCTGGCCGGGAATGAGCGCCGCACCCTGCGTGCCCAGAGTGAGTTAAATCCTTTTATTTTCCTCTCTTTCCGCAGGAGTAAAAAGGTCTGTAAGCCCTCAAACGTTGAGAATTCAGGGTTGTTTTTTTCTTAATTTGGACTGTCTAAAACCTTGCTTTTGTGAGAGCTGGACATGGGTGAGCCACAGCAAGTCCAGAGAGACTAAAGGAGCGTGGAGCTCTGGGCTGGTTTGTTGGCTGGGTTGGTGTGAGGGTGTTTTGCTAACCTTTGTGGCTTCAGAATATTGGAGGAATCTCTTTGCTAAGTAGAAAAACTCCAGACTTCCTCAAACATACAAATGAATAGAACAGGGACTTAACTGAAATTGAACTACAGTCTCTCCTGTAGTTTTCAAGTGTGGAGACAGGTGTATTGTAGAATTATTGTGGGACTGAATTAAGCAGCATTACAATCCCCTGTGAAAAACAGTAGCTGTGGCCAGACAAGCTTTGTTCCTTCCTTGCATGATCCAGGCATTTGCTGCCAGTCACAGACTTCCCTGTAGGTTGGGCAAAATTCCAACCCATGGGAAGATAAACCAGTGGTAGGTGCTTGGCAGCACTTGTCCTATGGCCTAGGATTGTCCTCTGAAATGTCTGCAGTGCTGCGGATGGTTTTTGTTTAACTGAAAGGTTAGTTTAGACTGAGCTGCTAGTAGGTTGGTTGTGGTGATGTTGTCAGGGGTTTTTAATGCCTTAAGGATGATAAATTATCAACAAAGTCCTCAACTACTTTCCATAAGCTGCCAAAAAGCTGAGTGCAATTGTTCTTGAACAGTTAAAGGAAGAAGCTATTAGCTTCAGTAGTCAAACCATTCTTAAGCCTGGTCCTGGAGAGAAAAGGGGAAAGCTGAAAATTCCTCCTAACTTTTCTTCCCCTCCATTTCCTACTGCATCTCCTCAAAATAAACAGAGATGGGGGAATAGTGGGTGGAGGAGGTGCACCAATTCAGTGACTGTAAAGCTATGAGAAATGAGAATATGACCTGAGATAGATGTCTACCACTTTGGCAAATAGTTTTCATGACAAGTGGGTGGCTTCTAGGATTGTAAATACCATCCTGTGTCTCTGAGCAATTTGTCTTGTGATTGTTGGTTTGTTTGTTTTTTTTTTCCTCTTGGGGCAAAAGGGAACACAAACCTGCCATTATTTTATAGCCCAAACTGGCTCTTCCACCCCTGAAGCAGGTAGAAGTGGTTTCAGTGCCCTGTGAGGCAGTGGGCTGTGGAGGGACATGCACTGACTGGAGTGTGGTGAACACTGTGGAGAGACCAAGAAGCAACAGACAGGCCTGGTGGCGAGTTCTGTGCTCTTTGCTGAACTGACCTGTGATCCTCTCTGAGTGGCAGGTCCTGCCCTTGGGAAGTGAGGTTGCTCTTGACTCAAATACAAGGTCTTGGTTACAGAACAGAGACTTATTAAGAGGAAAAGGGTCTTGTCATCTCTTTATTCAAGCCTCATCCTTGGGTCTAGTTTGTGTCCTTCACTAGCAAGACTGAGATCCTGTGCAAACTGAGCAAACCACTGGCCACGTGTTCCCCCTGACCTCCCAAGGGCATGACCAGCTACAGGAGATCACTGCTCTTCCACCAGAGAGCTGGTATTTGGGGTGTAAAGGTCTGCTGCAGTCAGACCACAACTTACCAACACGCTGGCCAAGCACAGAAGCTTCAATTGAGTGCCCAGGTTAGAAGCCCAGTGTGATTCTTGAAGATCTTCTGAAGAGTTTCCCCTCTCAGTCTTGGCAAGAGGGTTTTTGTTGTTGTTTTTTTTTTTTTTGTAGATAGAAGTCACCAGCCATCAAAACACTTGCCATGCAGGGGTTTTCCCCACCTCTGAGCACCAGTTTATGTGGTCAGCTTCACTCTGTCAGATGCAGGAGCCTCTGGCTGCGTGGTGTCGTTGGCCACCACCTTGGCTTCTCCATGAGTGTCTATGCATGTCCTCACAGCTTTCAAGATCAGCTGTAACCGTCTGTCCAGAGCCAGGAGATGGGGCTCAGTGAGGACAGGGGCCAGGGGGTCCTGCAGGAGGGACTCCCTCATCACGTCGCTGAGCTGATACTCGGGCTCTGCCAAGAGCTGGAGTCGTAACAACGTTGTCCTCTTTATTCTGGGAAAAAGAAACCAGACATCTTAATGGAAACTTCCTGCATCCTAGCAAGACCCAGCTGAGCCCCTAGGTAGGAAAGGAGAGCAGAGATGGGTGAAGATACTTGACAACTTTGGAACTTTCCCTTTCTGAAGGACCTTTTTGCAGAAGCCTCTGCTGGTTCCGTTGTTTTGCCAGACTGCAGTATTTGTACTGCAGGGTATTGGTACTGCAGCTTTCTGTCATCAGGGAAAGAAACAGGACAGAAATTCCCAGTAATGAGCATTTTTCCTCTCAGTCAGAGCTGACCCAGTTCCCCAGATTCCTGCAGGGTGTTACCATGTTCCCAAGGATAGCATTTATGGAGTGGGGGCAGAGTGGGAGGTAGAATGAAGAGGCATGAATGAGAAAGAGAAATAATCTGACAGAACTCTGAGCAAAGAGAGAGAATGTTTCCTGGAACTGACTTAGCTGTGACTTTTCACCTTCAGATGTGCTGAGATTTAAATATTTCCCTTTGACAGAAAGTGGGATGAAAAGCTGTAAGCTTGGAACACTTCTGGGAATTAAACTAAGTGTTCTGAATTTGTTCAATCCTCAGCAAAAGTGTTTTGACTTCAGCATCTTCAGTACTTGTGTGTTTGTGGTCAGTGATGCCTCTTGCATGGCACAGGGGAGGGAGGAAGGTGCTGCCTTCAGCTCCCCCTGCACAGTAACTTAAAATGTGGCTGTTGTCCTGGCTGCCCACTGCCAGGTTTGCATGACTATTCCTGCAAAGAAAAATAATCATTTAATCAAGTCCTAAAGCTGCCGGTGAGGCTTGAAATCACTGCTGGAGTAGAGCTGTGAGGTTCTGCTGTTGGAGAAAGCCTCAGACCAAGCAGGTGCAAAGGAGCCTGTGTGTGCTCTCCTGGGCAAAGGGTGACTGAGGAGCTGCTGTGGGCAAACAGCAGCTGTGTTTGCTCTGGTCCCAACAGCAGCAGGGCTTGGAGGGGGAGAGCAGGATAGCCTGACCCCATGGGGAATGGCTGATGTCATTTCCAGGACTGTTCACAGCTAAGGAGAGTGCTGGGGGCAGGGGGAGGCACTGGGGGTTCTGTACATTTCCTGAACACATTTGTATATAATTGTATGTATTTTCTTTTATCGTTCGTGTTTAATTAAAGCTGTGTAGTTTAGTTTTCAATCTAGCAAAGTCTCTCTCTTTTTCTCTCTCTCCTTCCCTGCCTGGGTGGGAGGGGATTGAGAGCCTTGTTGTCGAACCCAAGTCAAATGTTGACAGGGTGCAAAGAGCAAATGAGATCCAGTCATCCCAGTGTATGGGGAGAGAGTGCAGGTGGCAGCCTGGGATGAAGCAGGCACAGGGAGGAAAGGGGTTAGGCATCTCCTGGAGAGAAACCACAGTGAAGGGCAGTTCTTTCTGCTTCTTAACTTTCAGCTGACGATTTATGTGAATTAATAAATGGGGAAGATAAGACTCAAATAGATTTATGAGCTTCTGCTTAATACCATGGGAAGAAGAAAACTGCTTAACTGCATCAAAGTTGTACCAGGCTTCTGGATGGAGATTTCTGAGCTTCATGTCAGATGAATGGGGCTGATAACACTTCATCTTGATGGAAGGGTCTGACCCACCAGACAGTGTCTCCTGGTCTATCAGTGAAAGCTTTCACATTTGCAAGGCCTTTGAACTTCAGCAGGAGAGGGTTCAGGAAGGGTAGCTGTGAGACACTAGCAGGCTGCAGCACAACACAGCTTAGCACTCTGATCTAAAAGCTTCATCCCTGTTTCAGGGACAATTTGTGATTCCCATGCTCCAGTGTCTGGCCTGCCCCCTTGGCTGGGATCAGCAGGGGGTCTTCCCTGCACTGCTGGAGGGAGCCAGGCCCCTCTGTTATGGGGGGAACACCAACGTGTCTGGGAAGGAAGATGAAGCTGATACTTACATGCAGCACTGAGAGAGAGGGGCTAGGATGGAGGTCTCATCATGGGAATGTCGCCCAAACCTGGGGGTGAGCAGAGAGGGCAGAGCTTTAGTGCCTGCCCCCCACCTGGCCCCTCCCCAGTGTCCTCCCACAGCCTCACCCTCTGGCATTGTCCAGGTGCAGGAGGAATCCATCATCCCCAAACTTGGTGAACATTTCATAGTGGTGCCGGTCCATGTTCCCTGGGAAAGGGCAGACAGGAACAGAGTTTTCCTTGCATAGGACCAGGTAATTTTCTGAGCTATCCTACGTTTTCTTTCAGCCCTGCATAACATGTTCATCTTGTGGGCTGGGGTGGGTCTGGGGGGCTTCCCCTCATCTGCACATCAGCAGGGGTTGTGCTGGCTGGGGGACACAGCAATCCCCCCAAAACTGTCCATGGAGCAGAAGATGGCTTGGAGAAACACTGTGGTGTGGGAGGGCAGACAGGCTGGTACTGAAGGCCCACATGGAAGGAGGGAAAGTTATTTCCCCCTTCATCCTACCTATGAGGAAGTCAAAGATGGCCATGTCCACGATGTTAAGCAGTCGGTTGCTGTTGCTGTAGGGGTAGATCTCCCTCACTGTGTTGCAATAGAGTGGATTCACTTCCCACCTGCAGGAGATGGAGGAGAAGAGGGAGAGACACTCAGTGGTTGCTGCTGTTTTGTCCCAACAGCACCACAAAGCCTATCCTGTGTGGAGATGGAGAGGAGGAGGACTTCAGTCTCCCTCCTTGTGCATGCAGTGGGGAGAGACACTCAGTGGTTGCTGCTGCTTTGTCCCAACAGCACCACAAAGCCTATCTCCTGTGTGGAGATGGAGAGGAGAAGGACTTCAGTCTCCCTCCTTGTGCATGCAGTAGGCTTGGAAGCCAAGCCCAGTCAGTGTCCAGGCATTGATTTATTAGCCTAATAATGGGCTAATAATGTCTGAAACTTTGCTGCCTGCATCTACAATCTCTGCACCTGTGTCTGTGTGTCTGTACCCTTGTCATTCCCCTTCCCACACACTCCCTGCAATATGGATATGGGAAGCAGCATCGTTTACCCACTTACTCCTCTTTTCCATCAAACGAGTAGGACCGGATCCATGGGTTTGGGATGGAGAGTCGTGGTGCCAGGTTGAGGGATGGCAGGAAGGCAGAGAGGGACCCTTCCAGGAGGTGAGGGTTCCCACACACCGCGTACTCTGTCTTGCACATGTAGGGGCACTTGGCAAAGAAGCAAACGTTGCTGGCTGGGAGGAGGAGAAAGAGGAGCTACGATCTGCAAGGGAGCCTGGACTGGCCTCTTCCCCGGTGTGTGACAGTGACTGTGTGTGTGTTGTGGTGTGTGTAACCACATCACGGATCTCAGACTGCCAAACCCTGGGGAGTACCTGGGTTTTGGTTGGACAGACTTGATCCCATGCTGGGGGAAAGTTGGGGAGAATCGGGCATGTGAGTAGATCTGGCAGATGATTCCAGCTGGAGGCTGAGAGACACCTACTGTAACCATGTATTTTTGTGTTTTTCACCCAATAACTTCATTTCTACTCAACAGCACAAGTCCTGGCCCCTTTTGCCTGCAGACCCTGCTCTTCCACCCACAGGGACCAACACATCTAATCCCACCTCGCAGCAGCCAAGAGCTCGCCTACCTGGGGAGACAAAAAAGACACTCTGCAGGACCTCGTTCTTGGTGACCTCCAGGATCTCCTTGGTGACATTGATCAGCCTCCCAACTGTGGGTGGCACCCTCCGGAAATCCAGGATCCTGCACAAAAGGGACAGTGGCTCAGAGCCTGTGGTGCCAAGAGCTGTTACTGCATGGGATGGCAGATGCTGCCCTCATCCCTTCCATTGGTAAACCAGGGGATTTTTGGTGACTGCCCACATGGATTTATTTTTTTTTTTTCCTCCCAGCTTCTCTCTAGCAAATAGCCAGGATCATTTTACCCCCTGGGCCAAAATGCAGCTGGGTTTGGGTTTTGGTATTTTAATAGCTGCTGCCTGGAATGATCTGGATGTTCTCCAGGATTCATTGTCTCTTCCCTCACTGGTTTCTCCCATCCCCTTGTACACAACAGGATCCTTCAGGAGCCAGCACAGCCTAAAATGTTGGGTTTGACAGAGAGCAAAGATGTGTTGAACCTGGTAGAGCAGCTGAGGCAGCAGGAGGCAAGGAGGGATGGTTCCCCCTCAGGGGCACTTGTGCCCTGCTGATTGATCTCAAATATTATTGAAAAATCAGGGCCTGGGGCAGGCAGGCATTTATGTCAGTGAATGGAAAGCTGCTGTTGATTGGTGAGTCAGGAACATGGGGTGAACCAGCTAATGCTCTGCTTTGCTTCTTGGGTAATGTCCTCTGCTTCTGAGAATCGGGCACAAAACAGAATTTAGCCTGTTACTTATTGAGCAATGGCTAAAGGAAAAGAAATATTTGCTTTCATGTATCATCTTTCAGCCCTAAAAACCACAAAACAGTTCAGAAAAGCAGCCTGGCCTCATTTTTCTGGTGGTAGAGCTGGGAGGCAGAGAGGCAGGCTGGTGGTAGGTGAGTCAAGCAGATTCACTGAGGTGATATAGGGGCATAGATGCAAAGGGAATTTGGCTCCCTTAGTTCCCTTCCTCAGTCTGAGCTGCAGGACTTACAGTCCATTCCAGTTTATTATTTAAGTTGAGCGTGGGAGCTGGAGACCCCCACCCACCATCAGCCACAGGGATCATTCACCCTTGATGTTCAATGCTCAGCCCATCCAGGGAAAGAAGGCTGCTGTCCTCTTCTTCTAATTAGGGAATTTTTGATTTTATGAAATACAAAGCCTTCTGGGAAGGGGTGCCAGGTTAATTGCTCATTAGCTGAGGGCTTGAAACTATTGCTGCAGTTTTTCTCAACCCAAAACACACCTTGACTGCAGATAGAGCGTGTGACTCCCTCACTGGGAAGGGATCCAGGCTGTGCCCGGAGCTCAGCTTTGCACTTTGGTGCATGGGAGGGACCACGTGCAAGTGGCTGTGTGACAGCTGGGCAAATATCTGACCCGTTTGGAACCTGGGCTTCATCTGCCAGCCTGTTCCTGTGCAGGACCCGAGGCCAAGCTGCCTGCTGGCCTTCAGATGGGAGCCAGGGCCACCCCATCCCAAAATCAGCACCTGCTCCCAGAAGGGCACTGCAAAGCAACTGCTTGTCTCAGGCTGAGCAGCTCTGCAGGGCTCAGCACAGCTTTCCTTTGTGCCCAGGCCCTCTGTGGGCAGGGGACAGGGTGCTGGCAGCTGGAGGAGGCAGGTGCTGTGGCAGGTCCTCACCTGTCCAGGTGGAAGGCAGCGATCTCGGCGTTGTGCCGCTGGAAGTCAACGAAGTAGAAGAAGTCCTCAGGGGTCTCCTCCTCACGTTTCTGCCTGGGAAGAGCCAAGGGGGTTAATGTAACTGGGCACAGCAGTGGCAGGCACCTGGTCTCAAGAGTGGTGGCACAAGGAGAGTGCACCCAGGGACAGCTGGGGTTATTAGTGGCCAGGTTAGTGACAGGGCAGAGCGGTGGGACCTGAGCTGGGACCACTCTGCTGTCCTGGGGAGCAGCACTGGGACCTGTCTCGGTGCCAGGTGGGTGAGAGAGGTGGAAGGGCTGACTCTGGGCCTTAAAATCTTTTGTGCCAGGGTTTGGGCTTGCTTAGGACAGCATTTCAGGTGGGCACAACACTGGGGGATGCTAGAGGCCACTCTGCACTTCTCATGTCACCGTGGGAGGCAGAGAAGAGCTCGGCTTTCATGCTCTCATATCATTGAGACAGTAACAAGAGCTCATTTCATTTCATTTTCTGGCTGTCACACAGTGCCCTGAGCATCTGGATATCTCAGGAAAGCCCACAGGCACTTCTGAGCCCTCCTGACTCAGCTGAGTGCACAGACTCCTTTATTCCCCTCCCAGACCTGCTGGGCACAGGACAAGGGTGGATGGAAACCAGCAGGAGAGGACCTGGCTGCTTTCTGCATGAGCAACCCCCCCCATGGGTGTGCTGCCAGCTGCCCTGCCTGTGCACAGAAAGTAAAGTGAGGGGCAATAAAGGTGAAGAGTCCCAAGGGGCTAGAAAAAAGTGCAGAAGCAACTTAAAACTCCTGTTTGAGGTGACCAGGACTGATGGGTATTTCTTGGAAATACTCTAGGGGATCCAAGGAGAAACAAAGTAAAACATAAAGTCAGCTGAGGAAGAGGAAGAAATGAGCAGTCCCTAATGGCAAAGCTCTCAGGAGAATAAGTGTCCCAAGGTCCTACTCTGTCTGGCATCTCTGAACTGAGAAGTTTCCAATGTCAATAAGCTGTGTGGGAACATGGTGTTTATCCCTGCCTGTCCCTGGGACAGTGTGAGCAGCCAGTAAGAATGAAACCTTTTCAGCTGTCAAGGTGGTCAGGGCAGGAGAGGGAGGCCAGGGCTGTGGTGTCTGTCCCTGCCAAGGGTGCCCCCCTGGCTGTGGGGCCCCCTTGCTCCTGGCTGTGTGGGGGGCTCTGCTGCTGTGCCTTACCTCATGGGCTTGAACATGGCTTTCCCAAAGTCCTGGAACCTGAGGACCAGCTTCAGGTGCACCCCACTGGGCTTCACGACTGGGGAGGAAATGGGAGGTTAGGCTGGTTAGTCCCTGGGAAACCTCCCTGGTGAAGCACCAGGGACGCACGTGGGCATGACCCAGCTTTCCACCCCGGGAGCACATCCCACAGCTTCTCCTCTCTGCTTTTGCAGCTTTTCCTCCCTCTCCCCTGTGTTATGGGTGTTTCCCTCCAGCACTCCTCCCAATACCCATTTGTTACATCCTCTCGGGGACTTCCTCTTCCCCCCCAGTAGAAACCAGTGGTGTACTGGTGTCCTGCCACGCACATCGCAGCTTCTGCTGGGGCAGTGGGCTTTAAACTGGGGGGAAAAGGGCCTGGCAGTGCCTGGCTTTGTTTCCCCTGCTGAGGTTAGGATGGAGGAGCTGGGGGTTGGGGTCAGCTGAGGTGGGGGGGTACAGGGGAGAGGAGGGACCCAAATTGTGACACTCACTCTGGCTGCAGTCACAGGCCCCCAGCAGCGCTTTCTCGTCCTGGCTGTAGTCTGCAAGGGCAGGAGGTGTGGTGAGATCCCACCAGGCTCCTTCTCTTGCTGCTGACCCCCCTCCCAGCACCGTGCAGGGACTCCCTGCCCAGCCCTGCCCCAGCCTGGCAGCCCCTGGGGCCGTGGGTGCACGGCAAGGGGTGCAGACCCCTCAGGGGAAACTGAGGCAGCTTGTTGGGATGAAACTGCTGTGCAACAGGTCCCCAGGGTGACTGGCACCAAGGAATCCTGCATCCAGGGCTACAGCTGAGTCCTTCTTCCCATCTCAAGGTAAGGACATGGCACAAAACCTGCTGGGATGCCAGCCCAGGGCCTGGGGATTTCTCCAGCCAGTGACAGCCCCTGCTTTGTTTCCCAAAGTGACCTGGGGGGGGGTACTGAAGACCCCAGCCCCACAGCAGGAGGGTCCTTACCAGCGCTGATGGTGGGGGAGCCCTGCATGTCCCGCAGCAGCCTGCTGACCGCGGGGCTGGAGCGCGGGTACAGCGCGTCCCGGCTGATTCCCAGGTGGAATTGCAGCCAGCTGGAGTCCGGCCGGCGCGGCAGCGGCGCTGCCGGGGACGTCAGGTTGAGCTCCTCCCTGTAAAGCCTGTGTCTCCTGCAAGAGAGTGGGTACAGGGTGGTGAAGGTGAGCCCCGGGCTGGAAACTCTTACTGCTCTGAGCCCAGAGGGTGCTGGGGAGCAGGGCTGAGGGGCACGGGGTGGTGCTACCCAGGGGGAAACTGAGGCAGGGAGTGATGACTGGGATATCAGAGGTCTCACAAATCATCTTCTCTTCTCTCTGCGAAGCCCTGGGAACGCGGCCTCCAAGTGGGAACACAAGGGGGGCCTCCTGTCTCCTCACCCCACCAGGAGCAGGAGGAGGGGCAGGGCAGGGCTGCAGCCAGACACAAAAGTTGCACCAGGTGATGGATGAGGAGCTTCCTCAGGGGCTGCAGGCTCCTGGCCAGACTTGGGAAGGGAAGGGATGTGGCAGCAGACAGGACTTGACTGCTCGTGGAGGTGTCCAGAGAGCCCAGGAGAACAGTAAGGTCTTGTCTGAGCAGCCTCTGCACAGGGCTGTGTTTATGGTGATTCCACCTCTGAAGCCAGAGGTCCCAGGCAGGGAAAAAAATAATAATCACTAGGTTAGAGCCACAAACGGCAATGGAAAGGTCACTTCTTCCAGCAGCAGAGGGCAGAGCGCCAGTTTCCCACTGACACCAGCCCAGCCGGTCCCAGTAACGGGAACACGAGGTTCCATTTACATGGGAAGTGCCAAGACACATCCATGGAAAAAACGGAAGCTGGGGGCTGATAAGGAGCAGGGCATTAACCGAGGCAGGGAGGGAGCAGCTGGAGAGAGGGAGGTGCCACGTCTCACTAGACCAGATCCAGACCCTTAGCAAAACACATCTGGGAAACACAAAAGATGAAGAGACTTCTTCCTGCCCGCCTTTAGCTTTTCCTATTTTTTTCCTAATTCTTTTGGTTTTGCCCAATGCAAACAAAACTAAAAGCAGGGAGGAGAGGAGAGCATGTGTGGGCACCCTCAGGCACGGCAGCTTTGCTGACCATGCACCAAGGAATTGGCTCTGGAAGCTGGAAAGGGCTCGTGGGCTTTGCTGGGGTTTTTTTGCTTCCCTGCTCAAACCAGCTGGAAGGTGCTTGGTTTCTGATGGGGCTTGTTTTTTTTCCATCCTCCTCCTCCAACCAAGCAGGCTAAACAGTGTGGTTACTCAGGTCTAACCATGAGCCAGGGATGAACCCTCCTGGTGGTGAGGGACAGGTTTCAGTGGCATCCTGAGAGAAATCTAGGAAACGGAGAGACAGGGCACATCAGAGCAGATCAGAGCAGCCTGTTCCCTCTCCTGGTTTATTTATCTTTCAGTTGGACTGGGTCAGCCACAGGCACAAAGTCCACTTCGGGAAGAAGGGTGTTGGGAACATTTGTCTCTCAGTCTGGCTCTTTGCTCAGGCCATCTGCAAAGGAGTCTCCTGACTCAGACATGGGAGCCTGCTAAGCCTTGCTGGCAGGTCTGCCTGCACACAACGACACAGCCCTGGGATGCTCCTCAACCTCCCAGCTCACTGCTGGGCACCAGGTCTCTTGTGGGCAAGTCTTTGAGGCACCACGGTGAGGAAGGGATGATAGACACCACAATGTGGTGTAAAAGAATGACTTGAGATTTTTTCCCTAGGGAAGCTGCCCAAATAGTTTACCATATTTGCTCGCCTGCCTCCCATATACACAGGCTGTTCCCCCCTGGGGTGGCAGTGAGCAACAGATTACTGATGGGGAAAAAAATGCAGCAGTTATGCAAGTTTTGCTTCCCAGCCCAGCACCCGCACGGTCCCTGCCCCAGCTGAGCTGCTGCAGCCCATGTCCAGCCTCCCAGCCCCAAAATCCAGCTCCCTCTGCCTCCCTGTTTCCTTCCGGATGTCCAAAATACTTTCCTGTAAGAACAGAGCTCTGCAAAAGACAAGGATATAAAAACCATGTTGATTTCTAACTTGCCATAATTACCCTCGGGGCAGCCCTGGCTCTCTGCTCACTGCTGGGATGTGAGTGGCACAGCGTGGGCTGATGATGGGCACAACCCACCAGTGTCCACTTGTCTTCCGCCTCTCCAGAACTGGGCTGGGGACAGAGTTTGGGGTTTGGAAGCTGCTCCTTCAGGGATAAAAATAAGCTCTGGAGTTTTAACCTTTTTTTTTTTTTTCCTTCTTTTGTTCTGTTTTTGTTTTGAAGAGGTGCGAGTGGCTTTTTTTGCTGTTTTCTTCCTGCAGCCCTGCAAGTCTCTCCATCTGGTTCTGCCATCCTGCCATCAGACTCATGGGAAGCTTGGTGACAGCCAGCAAGCAGTGAGTGCCATGGTGGTGGGACACGAGCTGCTGTGCTCCCCTGGCCATGGGTATCCAAAAGGGGCCATATCCTAGGGACATTTAATGAGCTGACAGAGATCCCCAGTCCAGGTGACGTCCAGCTGGCTGCAGAAGTGCAGACCAGCACGCTGTGCTGTGGGTCCAAGGCTGAACTCCAGCTTGCTGCACTTAGGAAGAGCATCCTGCCACTCTGAGAGCTGCTTTGCCAACAGCCAGACCTCCACATGATGCAGAAAGGTGCTGTCACCCAGCAAAGCTGAGGAAAGGATGGCCCGTGGATGTGCAGCTCTGACCCTCTTCTGCCTGGTAGTGGCTGTGGTCACACCTTGGTGAGAGCTGGGGTGGACCTTGCTCCTGCAGCAGCATCTCCAGCCCTCAAGAGCAGCAGCTTTGCTAAACCTATGGACTGGGAGAGAAAGCCACAGGTTCCTGGATCCCACAGAGGACACTGCCACTTGCTCTCAGCAAATCTAGAGATGGCTCTTTCATTGACCCCATCAGAGAGGACACGGGCTCTGCAGTGCTGCTGGTGAGGCAGAAATTCCTCCATGCCCACAGCAAATCAATGGTCTTAGGAAACACATCAAGCCTGGCAAGTGCCATCTTCTGATAGATTCAATTTGCAGCACCAGTGGCAGAAGTTGTTGTGTCATCTTGGCCTGGCCATGCTCTCTGAAGGTTCCACCTGCTTATGAGCATCATGTATTTTATTTTAGAATGACTGAGGAATCATCAATCCTCTGCCTCCCTTCTTCCCTGAGGAGCAAAGTGAGGTCAATCAAGGGCAAATAGCACCAGAGTTTTCCTCCTGGCCACGTCATGACCAAACCTCAGAGCCAAAGGCAACTGCAGCCGTGGCTTCCTCACAAACAGCACGTTTCCACAAAGCAGTAAGTGAAGTTGGGAGTTGCAGAACTTTAACCCAAGAGCTGGGCCTGTCCCACTGGTGAAGCTGGTGCAGATGGGATGCCTGCACTGCCACAAGTGCTCAGCACTGGGTGCTCAGGGCTGCAGACAGTGCTCAAGAAGCCACCAGCTGCCATGAGCTGCTTCGGTTCAAATCCTCCATCCCCACCAGGCTTCTGCCTGGGAAACATCCATCATGCTGCCCAGACCCTGATGTCTTCAGGAGGCATTGCTCAGCTCTGAGAAGATGCACCTGCTGGGACAGGCTGTGGCACAGGCTGGCTGTGGCACATGTCCACAGACATACCCAAATCCCCCACTCGTGGACTGATGTGGAGTGAGTGAAGAAGGATTCAGCCTGCTCCTGATGGACCTGGGCAGTGAGGAGATGCTGCAAGCTCAGCACCACGGGGACCTGCTCCAGCACCACGTCCCTGTGGCCATCCCTGTTGGATCCGAGTCTGTGTGCAGAGGAAGCTGGGATGCAGGTAGGAGTGGGGATCCCGAGGAATGCTGGCTGTTCTAGCTTGGATGTAACCCTCTTGGAAAAGGGGTGAGCCTGGGGGCTCAGGGCCCCCGGGCTGTGAACCTCAGCAGTCAGGTCATGCACAGGGGGCCGATGCTCAGAGCTGGTGCTGGGGTCACTGTGCCCTCCAGGGCAGGGGCCATGGGGGTCAGTGACAGCCCCCCCCCAGGTGGGGGAGTTTTCCTGCACCCCTTGCTGGGGCTGGGAGAGGCAGCAGAAAGAGGGCTCTGAGCTGGGAGTCCCTTTCTCTCCAATAGTGAAGCCTCTGCAGGTTTCCTTGCAGATGAGCCAGGGGTGGGAACGGGAGAGGGGCTGAAGGGGGAACCAGCACCACGACACCTCCTTAGGGGATCAGAGGAGACCCGTGTCACTGCTCGGAGGCAGACACAGGGACATGCAGGGCTCAGGGACTGTGGCTGCTGCAGCCTGGGGGCTCCAGTTGTCACCCAGCCTGAAGGCTGTGGCTGCAGGGACTGACTCCCCTCCTGTCCCCAAGCCAAAAAGCTGACACAGAGCAAGGAGGACCCAGCTCACAGGGGCTCACCCTGTGCCTCTGCAGCCACCCTTCCCCTCCCCTGGGGAGCTGACAGCAGAGCAGGAGGCACTCAAGAAGCCCCCTCCCAGCAGAGCCCCCTCTAGTCAGCCCTGCCTGTCCCTGGGGTGCTGGTTGTTGGGGAGAGGGGGCTGGGAAGGACAGTGGGACAGGTTGCCAGGAAGCAGGGAACAAGCTGGACTGGGGAAGCCAGGGGGGTGTCCAGGGGGTGTGTACCCAAGCAGAGGGTGCTTAAGCAGGGGTGCCCAGGAGAGCTGCCCAGAAAGGGGGTGCCTGTGGAGGAGACAGCCAGGAGGGGTGGCTGGAAAAGGGGTGCCCAGGAGGTGTCTGTGCAGGGGGTGCCTGGGGAGCCCCTGCAGGGGCACACGGGGTGCAGGAGCAGCGGGTGACCAGGAGCCAGCCCTGCAGGGGGGTGCCCGTGGAGTAGACAGCCAGGAGGGGTGGCTGGAAAAGGGGTGCCCAGGAGGTGTCTGTGCAGGGGGTGCCTGGGGAGCTCCTGCAGGGGCACACGGGGTGCAGGAGCAGCGGGTGCCCAGGAGCCAGCCCTGCAGGGGGGTGCCCGTGGAGGAGACAGCCAGGAGGGGTGGCTGGAAAAGGGGTGCCCAGGAGGTGTCTGTGCAGGGGGTGCCTGGGGAGCTCCTGCAGGGGCACACGGGGTGCAGGAGCAGCGGGTGCCCAGGAGCCAGCCCTGCAGGGGGGGGCCCGGCGGGTACCCGCACTTGGGATGCTCGTGCTGGCCCCGGGGATA